AAGGCTTGTCTCAAGTTCTTTCCCCCATTTGCTGCTTTCCTCACTGACGTCATTCTCTCTCGCCTTCGGTCCCTAGGGGTGAATTTAATCTCAGGCTAATTCATCTTAACCAGGCTCAGAGGTAGCGCTCTCTCTCTCTCTCTCTCTCTCTCTCTCTTTCTCTCGCCTCTGAGTGAGAAGGTTGTGGGTTCAAGCTCCCACGTCAGGACTTGGAATCACATCATCTAAGCTGACGCTCCAATGCAGGGCTGGGGGGGTGGTGTTGTATTGTTGGAGACGCCGTCCTTCGGATGAAACATTAAACTGAGGTCCCGTCTGCCTGTTCAGGTGGACGTCAAAGATTCCTTGACGCTATTCGAAAAGAGAAGGGAGTTTCTCTCTCTCGGTGTCCTCGCCAAAAATCCCCCAAATAAAATTGGTCACTCACTCTGCTACTTCACCCACAAAACATAATAATAATCCTTGCATTTGATATAGCGCCTTATCTCCCCTCCTCCACTATTCACAAAGTCCAGCTCATCCAACACTGCGCCGCCCGCATTCCCACCCACACCAAACCCCGTCCCCCGATTACTCCAGTCCTGGCCAAACCCCACTGGCTCCTGTCACAGAGCGGATCGACTTCCAGATCCTCACTCTAGTGTTTAAATCCCTCCATTCCTTGCCCCCCACCCCACGCCCCCATCTCTCTAACCTCCTCTCCCCCCACAGCAGTACCCGCTGCCTCCTCTAATAATAATAATAATAATCCTTGCATTTGATATAGCGCTTTTCACGTCGGGAAGACATCCCAAAGCGCTTCACAGAACACACTGTAAAGTGAATTGACTGTATATTTGTGGGCGAACGCGGCAGCCAATTGCGCACAGCAATGTCCCACAAACAGTCGTGGATTGAAAATGACCAATTTATTATTGTTTTTGGTTTTGGAGGGATTATTATTAGGCTCTGTGTGGAGTAAGGAAACTTGCCCGAGGTTTCACCCTCTGCCTGGAATTGAACTCAGGTCTCTCACTTGCAAAGCGAGTGCTCTAACCACTGAGCTACAGGACTCCACTGGCTCCGGCCTCCTCCGCGCCCCCCGAATCCTCCACTCCACCATCGGCTGTCGTGCCTTCGGTCATTGCTCCCCAAAACTTTGGCACTCCCTCCCTCAACCCCTTGGCCTCGCCCCCTCCTTCCCCATCTTCCCCATCTTCAGGTCGTGCCTGAAGACCTTCCTTTTCAACCGCGCCTACGGTCACCTCCCTGTCCCCCGGCTCGGCCTCGGGCTACACCATTGTTAAATGCCTTGGGATGCTGCCCAACATGGAGGGTGCTGTATAAATGCAAGTTGTTGTTGTTATCACATCTTCAAGACGTCTCAAAGCACTTCACAGTATATACTGTAAAATGTAGTGACTGTATATTTTGTGCGTGAAATGCGGCAGCCAATTATGCACAGCAGCGTCCCACAAACAGTGGTGGATTGAGCTATTTTTTTAGGGGATTATCTAGAAAAACGATCCGTCAATCAACTATAATAGAACCGGGAATAGAACACAGATCTTTCGCTTGTGAGGCGAGTGGTCTAACCAAACTCCCCCACTGGCTTCCTTTTGACTTGCCTCCTCCGCTCAACAGCAGAGACACCTGTTGTCTAAAGTTCATAGCCCCCACTTTGTAAACTCCAGGCTGCTGTGTGACTCCCCCCCTCCCCACATTCAACAGTCAAGCCTACACCCCTATCATTCATCCAGTCATTCATTATCTCCTGGGCAAAGAAATACTACCAGGTTTCTGTCCCCACATTGCCCTTTTCCAACCCTTGTTCCAGTGGATGCCAAGAGCTTTGTTCTGGGATGATTTTCTCAATCCCGGTTTAACGTGTGTGACATATATGTGGACTTCAGTATGCCGCTCCGGGGAGGGAGATTGAGTGCGCATTTCATTCCAGACAAAGGGAACTTTCATCCGTACTTGGGCCTGACTCTCAATTAGATTTGGATGATCTTAAGCACAGGGATGGGTTTCCATGTGTGTCAGACACCCGGCTGGCCTCCAAAAAAGTTATACACCTCAATACCCTTCCCTCCATCATCAGGGGCCGTGCTTTCAGCCACTGCTCCCCAACCCTCGAAACTCCCTACCTCAATCCTTCCCTCTTGCCCCCTCTTTGCCAGTCTTCACTGAATACTGGCCAAGAGAGGGCAAGGGGGGAAGGGAGATTCCCCTTTGCTGTCTCCTGAAGACCTTCCTCTTCGACGGTCACCTCCCCACTCTCCCCCCTGCTCAGCATCAAACTCCGCCACTCTGAAGACACCACCCCGTGCAAAGGGTGCAAAGACTGATGAGCCAAAGCTTCCGTAAGGGAACATAAAACATAACTGGCAAGGCCACAGGGAGCAAACCTGCTTATGCAACCACCCATCAACAAGCCGGAGGTGAGACTTCAGCCCACAGAGCATGGAGTGCAGTGAAATCCACTCACCTGCTGTTAACAACAGAGGCTATTGAGCTCATCAATCACAGGAACTCTAAGAGCACCATTACAGCCTACAAAGATATTCACTGAACAACTCCCACTTGTAACCCGATTGCATGGCCCAACACAAGCGCTGTAGTGACAGAAACAAGTGGAACAAACTCACAGTGAAGGTGTTTTTTCCCCTATGCATTTCATTCCATCAGAGAAAGGCTGGGTTGCTTACCATCATTGGAACATTAGTCAACCCAGCCCCATACACAGACAACAACAAAACACAGTCAATTCACTTTATAATATATTCTGTGAAGCGCTTTGAGACGTCTCAATGAAGTGGAGTCCTGTAGCTCAGTGGTTAGAGCACTCGCTTTGCAAGCGAGACAACTGGGTTCAATTCCAGGCAGAGGGCGAAACCTTGGGCAAGTTTCCTTACTCTACACAGAGCCTAATAATAATCCCTCCAAAACAAAACAATAATAAATTGGTCATTTTTAATCCACGACTGTTTGTGTGACACTGCTGTGCGCAATTGGCTGCCGCAGTTTGCCCACAAATATACGGTCAATTCACTTTACAGTATATTCTGTGAAGTGCTTTGAGATATCGAGAAAACGTGAAAAGCACTATATCAAATACAAGGATTATTGTTATTACTAATATTATAAATTGTATTTATGGAGCGCCTTTCACATAGGAAGGACATCCCAAGGCGCTGAGGATGTGCACCCGAGCTGGGGGTTGGAATCAAGAGGGGTGGAGGATGGTGGTGGACGGGGTGAGGCTGGCAGGGAAGCCGAAAGCACGATCTGAGAGGAAAGTGTTGAGATGGGCCTTGAAGGAATTAACAGACCCCCAAAAGGTTCTGGCCTGAATCTTCAAATCTGGGCCAAGTGGAGAACGAGATATCCTCATCATAAAACACTTTCATTTTTTAACGACAATGCAGCTCCCCCCAAACCCCCGGCACTGCACTAAAGAGTCAGGCTAAACCGTGAGCTCAAAGTTTCTGTCCCACAACCTTCTGACCCTGAGGAACGAATGCTAGTGTGACTGAATTCGGCTGAGACTTTGATACAAGCAGCGGACAACCAAACAGCGGCCTTCTTTTCCGCAATCACCATTAATGCTAATAATATATAATAATCCTGGCTTTTGATATCGCGCCTCATCACGTTTTCACTACGTCTCAAAGCACTTCACAGGATACACTGTAAAGTGAATTGACTGTATATTTTGTGAGTGAAGCGCGGCAGCCAATTGCGCACAGCAGCGTCCCACAGACAGCCGTGGGTTGAGTGATCACATTATTATTATTTTTTATTAAAACCTCACATAATCCAAGAATGAAATGACGTGCAATACAGCCCTTGTTAAAATTATTCCAGATGTGTGTCGCCTCGCTACCCTTCCTTTCCCTCCAGGAGCTTGTGTTGAGTTACGCGAATGGGAATCAGTGAAAGTGACGTCAGGTAAAAGTGCATTGCAGAACCCGAAGAGGAGCTTCCGATGGGAAATTATCATCAATGCAAATTTTTTTTTGCTTCAAAATAACCTGGTGTTAACTAAACTATTTTTAACTTCACTTTGTATGCAAAAGATTCATCTCTGAGATACAATTAACAGTCACACATGTAGTCACACATCATCATAATAATACTACTACTAATAATAATGATCATCCTTGCTTTTGATACTGTGCCTTTCATGTCAGGAGGATGTCTCAGCATTGACTGCAAAGTGTAGTGAGGCGAATTGCATTGAGGCAAATTGGGCCATTGCTGTGCGCAAATTGGCTGGTGAGTTTACCTACAAATACACAGTCACTCCACACTTTACAGCATAACCTGTGAAGCGCTTTGGGACGTCCTCCTGATGTGAGAGGTGCCGGATGCATCAAATGCGAGGATTATAATTATTATAATTATTATCTCTTGGTAGCAATTGGAAATGTCGCAACCTTACAGGCGTTGATGGAGGTAGGACAATGGAGAGCTCGGCTCCCTGCAATTTGGTGATAAATCCAGTTCTCGCTCCTTCCTTTGTTTTCCCATTTTACTTAAAGGCACATAATTACCATGTGAATGGGACAAGCAGCTGTTCATATTGCTCTGTATTCCACGCAAGTGGCTCTGTGTCTATTATGATCCAGCTTCCCCGAGCAAGCTCGGAATAATGGCAGCACATTTGGTTTGGGTCCAAGAGATATCCACCAGCTGCGCCATGAGGCTCTCAGGTGAAGTTAACAGGCCCAGCACACGTCTTACATTCAAACTGTCTACCTAAATAACTCTCGGGCTGGACATTACGCCGACAAAATACAGTCACTGCACTTCATAGCAAAGCTTTTGTCCAGGTTGGCACTCGGGTGCAGTGGCAGAGGAGGTGTTGGTGCATTGCAGAGGTGCCCCGTATTTCAAAAGAGACGCTAAACCCAGGTCTCGTCTGTAGGACGTTAAAGATCCACCACACTGTAACAGAGCAGGGAGTTTCTCAGTGTATTTTCAAACCGAGTTCAATTAAAAAATTGCGAGCTCACCTGCCAGCGTCAAGAAAGGATTTATATGCCACAACTGTCCAGTCCTCTTTGTTTGCACTATATCGAGGTTCCCGTGGAGTTTCCGACTGGATGTCTAGATCGACCAGGTAATGGCATTGCCGCACATCAACCTGGCAAGTGGAATAACCAAAATGACATCAACCAACAGCCAACAACAAACAAACAAACAAATAAACAAACAAACATGGGAGATTCTCTCTCACTCTCTCTCCCGGTGTTCTGGCCAACAATCCCCCCAAATAAAATTGGTCACTCACTTCAATAACAACAACCTCCTCTACGTCGCAGAGTAATGTCTCGGAATATCTTACTGTCTAAAGTTTAAGTAGAATTTGGGTCACTCGCTCTGTGACTGTGTTTGGGACGCTGCTGTGCCCAATGAATTGGCTGCCGGATTTCGCCCACAAAATGCAGTCACCGCACTTGACAGTATATATCCTGTGAAGCTCTTTGAGATGTCTCAACCACGTGTTAAGGCGCTGTAACAAATCCAAGGATTATTATTATTATTAATACTGGGAAGGGTTTAGACGCTGAGCTGTCGGGGGAGCTGCAACAAACAACAAATAAACAAACAATTTAAATATTTACCTCTTTGACCGCATTTTCAGTCATCTTTCCTCTCTGAATCCTCCTCCACTGCCAACTTCACCCCCTCTCCCCCTCCCACTACCAGCTCGGGTGCCTATGCTCAACCAGCTGTGTTAAACGGGCGCACGGCTGGAGCACTCGCTTCGCAAGCGAGAGGACCTGGGTTTGATTCCCGGGCAGGGGGCGAAACGTTGGATAAGTGTCCTTACTCCACATGCCTCTGTTTACCAGCAGAAAGTAGGAACCCGGTTGCTTTTCCGGGGGGATAATAATCCCTTCAAAATAATAAATAAATTGTTCACTCGATCCACGGCTGTTTGTGGGACGCTGCTGGGTGCAATTGGCTGCCACGTTTCACCCACAAGATATACAGTAAATTCACAGTGTATCCTGTGAAGCGTTTGAGACGTTTGGAAGACGTGATATGTATCAAATGCAAGGATTATTATTCTTATTATCACTGTGCTCAGATTAACTGCTGCGCTGGCTTACACAGCACACAGCCACTACATGTTACAATAATAGGTAAAGGCATGAGTATCGAACAGGACAAAGAGTCTTTGCCGTCCAAAACTCGCCTTGCGATCCAGAAATCACTTTGCCTTCAGCTGGTAAGTAACTACTCGCCAAGCTGAGAAAGTCTCAATTTGCCAGAAGACAATGTCATTCTCCGAGAAGAAAATCACTGGCTCCTTAGTTTTTATTAGGATTTATTTGTGTCGTTCTCACTGGGCTGCTCAGCAAGTCTTCCTTGAAGGCACTTATAGTCACAGGGTTATTAGTCTCATCAAACTTAATTGTGCGCCACCAGTCCGTTTCGAAACCAGAATCACCAAAATGGGAAGAGAGATGAGATCCCAAGATTCGGTCAGATAACAATAATAATAACAATAATAATAACAATAATCCTTGCATTTGATAACAGCGCCTTATCAAGTCTTCAAGACATCTCAAAGCCCTTCACCGGATACACTGTAAACTGAATTGACTGTACATTTTGTGGGCGAAACAAAACACTGCAGCCAATTGCACACAGCAGTGTCCCACAAACAGTTGTGGATTCAGTGATCAAATTATTTATTTTTTGGAGGGATTATTAGCCCCGGAAAGCGATCCGCCAATCGACTAACATCCCACCCCTAAAGCAAATCTGCTGCTCAGCGGAGAATTCAAGTGAGCAAGAAAGTGACTGTTCCGATTCCTGACCGTTTAAGCCCAGTTTGAAGCATCGTTCCTATGAGAGTTGTCATGGCGACTCCTTGCAATGAGCAGTCAGGTGCTGGCAGAGCGAGGACTGACGTAACAAGAGCCGCTTTATGATTAGGACTCACTGCCTTGCCTCGCTCCGCTCCCCCCAGTTATGCATAAGCAGCCGGTGGTGGAAATCACTGCCCCACCCACCACCTCACCCTACCCCACCCCCCACCCCACCCTACCCCCCACCCCACCCTACCCCCCACCCCGACGTCATGTGATGTCAATGAGCTTTTTAATTCTCCAGATACACAAACGCGGAGGGAGTGAGAGTCAAGAGGGTGACTCAGCCTCTCGATGACTCAATCGTCTCTGGTTCAGTTTCCGCTGTGTCAAAGCGCTGGGTATTGGCAGGTCCATTGGGGAGGCGACTGCACATAATTAACAGCGATTATCTCTGACCTCATCGGGCTCCAAGCTGAGCTATTGGAATAAACCGCCTATGATTGAGGCTGAGCAACTGAACATATAAAACCTCTGCGTAACAAACCAGCATCAGGAAACCGACTTGACGATAATAATAATCCTTGAATTTGATACAGCGCATTATCACATTGTTGAGACGTCTCAAAGCGCTTCACAGGATAAACTGTAAAGTGTAGTGACTGTGTGTTTTGTGGGCGAAACGCGGCAGCCAGTTGCACACAGCAGCGTCCCACAAACTGTCATGGTTTCGAGTAATCAACTTTTGGGGGGGCGAGGGGGAGGGGAAGCGTTATAACTGCTGGAAAATGACCCGCCAATCGACTAACAACCAGGTTCCTACTTACTTCTGGGTAAACAGAAGCGTGTGCGCGGTGTAAGGAGACTTGCCTAGTCCCAGGGAATTTCCACTTGTAGGTGGGATGCACGTAAGTCTCAGTGAAATTTAATGCTCTTAAACATGGCGATGGGTTTCCGTGTGTGTCAGACGCCCGGCTGACCAAAATAAACATTTACTTAGCACCCTTTCCCATTGGGTAGCATCTCATACCCTACTACGAGGCACCATAACCAGCGGATAAATCCTCTTACTTACATATCTGGATCGTTCTTCCTTGTTTTGGTCGTTCATTTCAGTAGGAATGATCCGGGTTGCCATCGGCTCCTGGGCATAGGGCTTCGGGAGCTGGCCTCGGAATTCCGAAGGAATGAACTGGAGTTGCCAGCTGGCAAAGGAGAAGCGAGAGCTCCCGTTAATACTCCGGCTGTTTTCCTCCGCCACCTCCAGCCCTTCATCAGCGGCTGAGCTGCCTGTCATTGTGCCTCTCCCCACCCCACTACCACCCCCCAACCTCACTCCCCCGCTCTCACTCCCGAAACCCCTTTGCCTCTGAACCATCCCACACCGCGTTAAAAGCTTTTCTGAAAGCGCACCTCCCTGTCCGTACCACCCACTCCTCTCCCCTCGCCTTCCTCCCACGGTGTGCGTTGGGCGCAAATTGACCACAACAACTACATCGTTAGGACGTCCCGAGGCCGCTGGATAGTTAAGGATTTGCACCTGAGCTGAGGGTGGGAATCAAGAGGGGGTGGGAGGGTGGCCAAGGGCACGGTCAAATAGGAAAGCCTTGAGATGGGCCTCGAAGGAGGCAAAGGAGGGGACAATGGATGGATTTACAAAGGGTGGGGGCAGGAAAACTGAAGGCCCGACTGCCAATTACTTACAAACTGATTGATTGATTAATTAATTATTAATGACAGAATTACTGTGCAGGGCTTTGAGATAATTCTAGATGGGAAGATCAGATAAAAATGCTAATTATTTCTCCCTCACTCCTGCACTGTCCCAGTCGATTTCTCTCTCTCACTCACTCACTCGCTCTCTCTCTCGCTCTCACATTCATTTTCTCTCCCTCTCTCTGAACTAAAACATGGCTGACCTTGTCCTAGTACCAGATCAAGGCTTGAGGTACTTACTTGTCAGGGAGCAGAAAGCTGCTGGGGAAACGGTACCATTCTCTCCCAACACAAACGTTCACTTGTCTCCCATCGGGAACAGTGTGAATGTTCGGGTCTGTGGCGATCCGGTGGAATTCTGGATACAGGTCAAGCGGCGCATGGTAACCTGTGAACAACAACAACAACAAGATTACACTTGTATAGCGCCTTTCACGTTGGGAGGACGTCCCAAGGAGCTGGATAGTGTACAGCATTTCAGACCCGAGCTGGGGTTGGGGGGGTAAGGGAAGGGAAAGGTGTGTTTAATAATATTATTTAATAATAATAATTGTAATATTCTCTGATTCTAACTGCCTGAAAGGTATTACATTTAAATTTAAATCAAACTGCCTGAAAGGGCAGTGAAAACAGATTCAATAACAACTTTCAAAAGGAAATTGGATAAATAATAATAATCCTTACATTTAATACAGCGTCTCATCACGTCTTTGAGACGTCTCAAAGCGCTTCACAGAATACACTGTAAAGTGTAGTGACTGCATATTTTGTGGGTGAAACGCGGCAGCCAATTGCGCACAGCAGCGTCCCACAGACAGTGACCAATTTATTATTGTTTTTTTTGCTTGAGGGATTATTATTATTATCAGGCGTGTGGAGTAAGGAAACTTGCTCAAGATTTCGCCCTGCCAGGTGGCTAGTTAGTGGGGTAAGAGTGGGGGGAGTGGGACTAGTTGGGGTAAGAGTGGGGGGAGAGGGGACTAGTTGGGGTAAGAGTGGGGGGAGAGGGGACTAGTTGGGGTAAGAGGGGGGAGTGGGGACTAGTTGGGGTAAGAGTGGGGGGAGAGGGGACTAGTTGGGGTAAGAGTGGGGGGAGAGGGGACTAGTTGGGGTAAGAGTGGGGGGAGAGGGGACTAGTTGGGGTAAGAGGGGGGAGTGGGGACTAGTTGGGTTAAGAGTGGGGGGAGAGGGGACTAGTTGGGGTAAGAGCGGGGGAGTGGGGACTAATTGGGTTAAAAGCGGGGGAGAGGGGACTAGTTGGGTAAAGAGGGGGAGTGGGGACTAGTTGGGGTAAGAGTGGGGGCTAGTTGGGGTAAGAGCGGGGGGAGTGGGGACTAGTTGGGGTAAGAGGGGGGAGTGGGGACTAGTTGGGGTAAGAGCGGGGGAGTGGGGACTAGTTGGGGTAAGAGCGGGGGAGTGGGGACTAATTAGGGTAAGAGCGGGGGGAGTGGGGACTAGTTGGGGTATGAACGGGGGAGTGGGGACCAGTTGGGTTAAAAGCGGGGGAGTGGGGACTGGTTGGGGTAAGAGCGGGGGGAGTGGGGACTGGTTGGGGTAAGAGCGGGGGGAGTGGGGACTGGTTGGGGTAAGAGCGGGGGGAGTGAGTGGGGACTGGTTGGGGTAAGAGCGGGGGAGTGGGGACTGGTTGGGGTGAGGGTCAGGGAGGGGAAAACCAGCAGAGGTTCCTGCTCCCGGACACTTGCAACCTCAGCGCTTCCACAATCGGGTGTAAATGTTTTATATTGAGGTGTTAGAGAAACCAACACTCCCCTTCCACAGGAGTGGGGGGGGCGAGGACTGGAGTAGGGTCAGCCCCCTTCGCCCCCATCCACAACGCAGGGCTCATGCCAGCATCAAAGATGGCCGCCTCTCTTCCCAACACAGCTTCATACCAGCATCAAAGATGGCCGCCCCGATCTGCCCTTGGAAACTCCCATGGACTCTATATGGAGAGGAGGGTGGGTGGCCATCTTTGATACTGGCATGAAGCCTGCATTGGGAAGATTGTCGGCCATCTTTGATGCTGGCACAGAGGCTGCATCTGTCTTAAAGGGAACTGACCACTCAGCACCCCCCACCCCACCACCACCACCACCATCACCACCAAGATATTTTTCACCAACAATCTGGCACAAACACTCCCAGTTTTCGCCCACAAAAATACACAGTCACTACACTTTACAGTATATTCTGTGAAGCGCTTTGAGACGTCTCAAAGATGTGATAAGATGATATATGAAATGCACGGATTATTATTATTAATATTACTGACCTCTGAACAAAGCCACTGAACGAGAAAGGGAGAGAGAACCAAAGAGGATCACTGTGCCCAGGGCCAGCCAGTGGGAGGAGACGGTGTAGTGTTCGAGACGGTAATGCTGGAACAGGAAATGGTAACATTTCTGCAAAACAAAGAGCGGGTTATGGTCACCGGGGCATGGCCGAGACTCTACACTTTCACCTCTTGACATCCGTGTGGAGGTGAGGCCACGGTGTCGCTGCCACCTGTTTGAATTCTCGATATTATTCACTTAATATCGAAGTTTACTGGGACAGAGCACAATGGGGGGAGAGAGAGAGAGCGCAGGGGATGGGGTTAGAGTAGAGACTCCAGTGGGGCAGTGAGCCCCAGCACAGACACGATGGGGAGAGAGAGCAGGGGATGGGTATTAGAGACACAGTCACAATTGACTAAACGGAATCCTATTTTGGTTATTCTTCCCAGCTGTTGATAAATGTCCATCATTGCACATTTTAGACCTGTTTGCTCACACCCCTGTAAATACGGCCAACAGCTGTGTTCTCAGTGTCCTCGAGTGCACTCGGATCTGTCGCAATGTGTTTTGAGACGGGCAGGAACTCTCCGCTCAGGGCAGTGTGCTCGGATGCTTCGGCACCTGCTCCCAATCTCTGTGGCCCCCCGAGGAAGCCCCTGAAGTTACCAGCATTCCGTCCTGTCAGGAACACTCTGCCTCACTTTTGGACCCAGCGCTCGCTCGCTCGCTGCCTGAGAGTGATTCGAGCCCGACTGTGATATCAAAGAGGCATTCGTGGAGTGCTGTAGCTCAGTGGTCAGAGCACTCGCCTCGCAAGCGAGAGGACCTGGGTTTGATTCCCAGCAGGCGGCGAAACCTTGGGCAAGTTTCCTTACTCCACACACACGCTTGATGATAATTCCTCAAGAAAAAAAAAGCAATGATAATTGGTCACTTCAACCCACGGCTGTTTGTGGGACATTGCTGCGCGCAATTGGCTGCCGCGTTCGCCCACAAATATACAGTCAATTCACTTTACAGTGTATCCTGTGAAGCGCTTTGAGACGTCTCAAAGACGTGATGAGGCAAAATGCAAGGATCAAATCCAGGGATTATTATTATTATTATTGGTCTTTCTGACCAGACTCGACATCGCCACCTTGTGGTGATTGACCGTTTGGCGACACCTGGTCCAGATTGATGTGTTCAAGGTCTCCGATGGGCGGGGGCAGGGGGGTGGGGGCTTGAACCCGCAACGAGGCGTGAGCCAGGGTCCAGGTCACGCACACAGAGTCTCACACTGCATCATACACACACACAGCGCCTTTAACACCTCACACGCACGTCTCATACGCCTCACAGCGCCTCACAATACGACACTAACCTGCAGGGCAGAGAGAGCCACGGCACCGCACAGGCAGATCAGAGGGTAGATGGGGAAGAGAAAACGTTCCTCTTTGTGAGGTTGGGTGAAGAAGATGAGGATCCAGATGTACATGGGCGACAGGGTCAGCCAGTACGGGCGGCCGAGGTTATGGACTGCAACAGGAAATGGGCAACATTACGTTACGATAGCAGGAACCACATCCCCCCCACGGACTCCAAGATCACTCGAGATGTTCGGAGTTCGGCCTTTGTCCCATTTCATCTTGTACTGTCCTCCCGTTGATACACATGGTCACGTCTTCAACCAGACCCGCATCCCAGCCCCCACACCCCCACCGTCCTCTAGCCTCGTGTCAGCTGTCGATTCCCCTTTTTTTGGGGGGTGGGGGCGGGTTACATTGTGTGTCTGTGACTGTGTGCATCATTTATGATTAAAGTCAATCCACTTTACAATATATCCTGCGAAGCGCTTTGGGGAGAATTCTAAACGATGTGTTAAGTTCCTGTATCAAATGCCGATGTTATTATTATTATTTGCAGATCGTATTGTTTGTAAGATGTGTCATCTTAAGACTAACTCTTTGACGTAACACATTTTGACCTCTTTCCCCCTTCCCCCACCCCCAGTTCAGGTGCCCAATCATTGGAGTCCTGTAGCTCAGTGGTTAGAGCACTCGCCTTGCAAGCGAGAGACTGGGGTCCCAGTCCTGGGCACCGCAAAACATTGGTAAAGCTTCCTTACTCCACACACCTCTGTTTACCAGCAATCGGTAGGAACCCGGTTGTTAGTCAATTGGTGGATCGCTTCCTGGGGTAACAATTCCTTTTTTAAAAAATAATTTGGCGGGAGACAGGGCGGTGGTGGGGGGGGGTAGCGAGCCATTGGCAAGAGAGGTTCAGTACGTGGCTCAGTGATGCTATGGAACACTAAACTTACTGACGCTAATATTAACACTAACTGCCCTTAGTGCCGTTCATCACATCCTGTTCCTGCCTTTCAACAACAACTTGCGTCCTTCAGGCCAGGCAGCGTCTCGGAGCACTTAACCAGAGCGCAGCCTGAGGGAGGAGGTGACCCTAACACAGTCAAAGGGGAAGGTCTTCAGCCGTGATCTGAAAGAGGGGAAGGAGAGAGGGGGCAAGGCGGAGGGATTGGAGGGGGGAGAGAGTTCCAAAGCTTCGGGGGGTAGAGGCTGAAAGCGCGGCCGCCCATGGTGGAGCGGAGGGGACGAGGGACGAGCAGGAGGCCAGAGCCGGCCGAGTGGAGGCAGCGGGTGGTGGAGTGGGGGAGAGAGGAGGGCAGAGAGGTCAGGAGGTGCCAGGGCGTGAAGGGATTTGTAGACGAGAGTGTGTGAGAGGATCATTGACCTACGATGTACATGTGGAAGGGTTCAGAAGGGGAGAGGTGAGAGCTAAGGAAGTCGAAACGATATTGCAGCAGACATTCCGTCTGGGTCGAAATTAACCCCTTTCGTATAGACAGTACTTCACAACTCTCCAAATTTGGTAGATTTGTTGAATTCAGTCTTGACACTGAAGTCATTCATTTTTTTCTCTCTGCGATTTTTTAAAAAGGAAATTATTTTGAATCGATCGCGAGCCGAGTGGGATTCCCCCGAGAGAGCCTTTAAGAAAGGTTTTTGAAGAGGGAGCGAGACAGATGTTTTTTGGAAGAGTTTTCCAAGGGCGATGTCTTTGTGTGTGTGTGTGTGTCTGTGTGTGTGTCTGTATGTGTGTGTATGTGTCTGTGTGTGTGTGCGTGTGTGTGTGGTTGTGTCTGTGTGTATATGTGTGTGTGTCTGTGTGTGGTTGTGTCTGTGTGTGTGTGTGCGTGTGTGTCTGTGTGTGGTTGTGTCTGTGTGTATATGTGTGTGTGTCTGTGTGTGGTTGTGTCTGTGTGTATATGTGTGTGTGTCTGTATGTGTGTGTATGTGTCTGTGTGCGTAGTCAGCCTCCCTGCCCCCACTGAAACTCCATCACACAGTCCCTCCACCTCCCTCCCTCAAGGCCTGTCTGAAGAATCCTCCTCTTTGACAGCACCTTAGCTCCCCCTTTTACCCCCACCCTCCCTGCCCTCCCCGATCCCGACCCCCAGCTCAGGCCCTGACTGTCCAGCGCCTTGGGACGTCCTCCTGACGTGAACGGTGCTGTGTAAATGTCGTATGTCGCTGCTGTTGTGGTTTTTCAAGCGAAACGTTTAAATAATTCTACGCGAGAAGCAATTTTTGTGCAAAGTCACAGCTCAGGACTTGCTGGAGCGGGTACCACCATCAGTGAAAAGCCTTTTGAGTGAATGAAAGCGTCGTCAAGCTCCGAGATGCGTCTGTCAGCCTCTAACTATGGATGGTGTCGCAGGCTTAAGGCCACGGGTGCATTGAACGTATCGAATCCCATGTAGTCAACTACATTTTACAAACCGCTAGCGTCACTCCCAGCCATGTCAACTTCAGCATTTGTTTTTTTGTCTTGAACCCAGGCCCCAACTGTTCGGTGTCAGCCTGGCTCAGTTGGAAGCTCAGTCTCGCTTCTGTGAGTCAGGAGGTTGTGGCTTCAAAGCTGACGTTTCAAGGATGATTTTTTTTTCTATCATCATCACAATAATAATCCTTGCACTTGATACAGCGCCTTATCACGTCTTCGAGACCAGTCTAATAAAGTGCTTCACAGGATGTACGGTAAGGTGAATTGACCGTCTATTTTTGTGGGCGAAACGCAGAAGCCAATTGCGCACCGCAGCGTCCCACAAACAGTCGTGGATTGAGTGACTTATTATTTAATTCTAGTTAATTTTTTTTGAGGAGATTATTACCCCCGGAAAGCGATCCGCCGATCGACCAATGATCAGGTTTCTACTTACTGCTGGGTAAACAGAGGCGTGTGTGTGGAGTAAGGACACTTGGTTTCGTCCCGCCCGGGAATCGAACCCAGGTCCTCTCGCTTGCAAGATGAGTGCGCTAACGGTTATGCTACCGGACGTCACGATGATGAAGATTTTTTACGACTCCCTCCATCTCAAAACGTACCTCTTTGACCGTGTTTTAGATTATCTGTCCTAACCCCCTCCCCATCCACCCCACACTCTGTTGGCTTCCACCCCCCGCTTGGGTGCCCACCCATGCCTGTGAATGCACAGAAATGTTACCTATATCAAGATTTTCTTCTCTCTTTCCCCAGTCCTTCAAGCATAGGAACAGAAGGAGGCCATTCAGCCCCTCAAGCCTGTTCCACCATTCTATTAGATTATGGCTGATCTGTACCTCAACTCCAATCACCCGCCTTTGCCCCATATCCTTTGATCCCCTAAACTAACAGACATCTCTCCACCTCAGTCTGGACAATGTGAATAGATCCAGCCATAATCCACAGCCTTTTTGGGGGGAGAGAGAGAAACTTCCAGATTTCCACTTCCCTTGTGAAAAACTGCCCCTGATTTCACTCCTAAATGGCCTGACTCTAATTTTAAGATGATGCCCCCCTTGTTCTGGATTCCCCACCAGAGGAAAGTTTCTCAGTAGCTGCCCTATCGAATCCCTTTAGCCTTTTAAACTCCTGAATCAAATCACCCTTCAACCTTCTAAACTCGAGGGAACGCAAGACAAGTTTATGCAAACTGTCCTCGTAACTTAAATGGGTTAAAGCTCCATTTATTCCCATCCTCCTAAGCGCTCCGAGACACCGTCCTGGTGTGAAGGACGATATATAAGTGCAAGCCGTTGTTGTTGTTGCTTACCATTGAACCTCTGCAACAAGAACTCCATCAGCGTAGTCAGAGGCAGGGCAAACAGAGCCATGACGAAAACCACGTTAAAATTCAAGAAGCCGTTAACGAAATAAAAATACCAGGGTTCGATACCTGAAAGGGGAAAGAGATAGAGAGAGAGAGAGAAAGCGAGAGAAATGGAATTAATGACTTGACTTGAAAGAAAAGGATTTCTTTTCAAAACAGTGAGATATAGAAAGGGAGGGAGGAGGTCAAAGAAAAATTTACGAGGCTTGAATTTTGCGTTCAACAGGGAATGGAGATTTTCAATAATAATAATAATAATCCTCGCATTTGATACAGCGCCTTATCACGTCGATGAAATGTCTCAAAGTGCTTCACAGAGTATATTGTAAAATGCAGTGACTGTGTATTTTGTGGGCGAAATGACACAAGAATTTTGTGGGGATGGGGCGGGGGTGGTGGAAAAGGTCTGACAAACCTTCTGAGTGACTTAAGAGTCCCACACGCTGCAGGTTGTTGGGTTCAAACACAAAGGTGAGCTCAAAGTCTAGGCTGATGCTCCTGGGCAATGCTGGGGGAGACCTACATAGTCAGAGGCGCTGTTCTTCAGATGAGTTTATTGTGCACACACACATATACACACACACACACACATATACACATACATATATACACACACACATATATACACACACATACATACATATACAGAAACAATGGCCAGATCTGAGTTTTGCTCCACGCTGCTCGAAATCTTCTTGCAATGATTAATTCGCATAAAAATTCCTTCAAGGCAATAATAGCTGGTTTGCTTAGTGACACACACACACACACACACACACACACGCGCGTATCAAACAGGATTAAGGATCCGAATGATTGCAAAACATTCAAAGCCGTTCATTTCAAAGCATCGAATCCTGGGAATCGGAGATAGTGCACAAACATTTTCTCTCTTTCTACCTCTCCCTCACTCTCTCCCCCTCTCTCTCTCCCTCTCTCTCTCTCTCTCCCTCGCTCTCCTCGCTCTCTCTCTCCCTCTCTCTCTTGCTCTCTCTCTCCACGCACTCAAGATCACGAAGCAGCCAAATGCAACGCAAAGATTGAAACAGAAGGTAAACATAGTAAGATTCCTCTCGCATCTGACCCCTGCTCCGTTACCAAGCTCAACAATGTCAGGTTCGATCATTCCCAGTTACCAAGGTAATAATACAATATACAATATAATAATCCTTGCAGCGCCTTACAGCGCCTTATCACATAGTCGAGACGTCTCAAAGACGTCTTAGTGGATTGGCAGATCACGTTTCCGGGGGTAGAATAAGTCCTTCAGAAATAAGCAAATAATTTATAATAATTTGATCACTTCAACCCACAACTGTTTGTGGGGACATCGCTGTGCGCATTTGGCTACCTCATTGCGTCCACAAAATTATACAGTCACTCCACTTGACAGTGTATCCCGCGAAGCACTTTGCGACGTCTGGAAGACGTGATCAGGGACTGTATCAAATGCGAGGCTTATTATTATAATTATTATTATAATACACGGAGCTGTTGAGAAAGGAAGAGGCGAGAGGGAGAAAAACTAAAGGCCCTTCATTTTGGCTGCTCCCGATTCGCTGGAATTATAATTGCAGAGGAATTCACAAATGAGACCACATCAATTATGCCACATCGCACCAAGGCTTGAGGAGCATTGCTCACCATCTGCTCCTGTGCTGTGAGGCTAATGGGCCCCAAAGACAAATATCACAGATTGCCATCAAACGGACTTTCTGAGTTCATTAAATGAAGCTGCTCAAAAACTTTGTGTGTCGGGGGGGGAAGAGGGGGGGGAGAGGGGGTTCAATGCGAGCAACAAAATTTGCTTTCTTGAGACACGCACACAGGAGAGAGAGAGAGAGAGACACACACACAAGAGTGCAGACACACAGATGAAAGAGACACACACACACACGTGTGTGGGGATGCACAGATCAAAGAGAAACACACAGACAAGAGAGGGACACACACACACACACACAGATGAGGGACAGAGGCTCACGGACACACACACACATCTCAAAAGAGCTTCACAGAATTTAACTGCAAAGTGTAGTGACTGTGTATTTTGCGGTCAGCGTGATGTCATCAGAGTGAGCTGAAAGTTTCAGGAGACCTGTGCAGCACACAACCAACTCTCTTGGGCAAAAAAGCAAGAGAGAGGAGGGAGTGGGTGGCGAGGGAGGGAGGGAGGGAGGGAGGGAGGACAAACAGATACGGAGTCATGAATCATCCCTCCTCCAATAAGCCCTATCTGGGCCTGGGCTAAGCTGCGCTTGGCCTGACTTGGCTGTCAGACAGAAGCTGTAAGGAAGACAGACCGAGAGCATCAGGGAGACACGACCTTGTTTGACGCACATCTCACGTGGTCAGCGTGAGCTGAAGGCTGAGATCACTGCAGTGACGCAGTGCCTGAAAAGCTATTACAGTATCCAGTCCCTATCCGTCCCTGAAACACAGCCCACCCTCCCTCGGCCCCCCACCATCTCCTCTCCTCTCCCCACCTCCCCGCTCCGCACATTACATTCTCGAAGGGCAATGCAGCACAAAGCTGATGGTTTATTGTAGGAAGCAGTTTCTTTTCGGTAAAATGAACAATGGAAAGTTGACCAACGAAGGCAGAGGACAGTATTTTAGCTTCTAAACTGGAAACCATTGTTTAGAAAAAAGGGGTAATAATCCCTTCAAACAAAATTAAAATAAATCGGTCACTTCAACCCACGACTGTTTGTGGGACGCTGCTGGGAGTAATCGGCTGCCGCATTTCACCCACAAAATATACAGTCACTACACTTTACAGTATATTCTGTGAAACGCTTTGAGACGCGTCGAAGACGTGATGAGGCGCTGTATCGAATGCAAAGATTATTATTATTATAACGCTGTGTTTGTGGGGGGGGTGAAGTGGGGGCAGAGGATCTGAAGGAAACAGAAGAGAAACACAATTAAAACACATGCCATACCACTGAAATGAAATACAATTAAACATCTTGGCTTTAAACACCAGAGAGCAGTCTGGAGCTGACTTCCTGAACCATGTTGGCAGTTTGGGCGGGTTTCAAGTCCAATTGGGTGCGTTTATTTTTGTTGCAGTTGGGTTTAAAAAAAATGCCTATTTTTATATTAAAAAGTATTAAAACCTTGGAAAACATTGATACCCAAAGACTTTATCACATGGAGTTTGGGAATGTTACTGTGCAACAGCGACATCCTGCAAAGCACACAGCCACTAAGTGACGAAGGGTCGTGGATCCACTTTCCTCTCTCCATAGATGCTGCCGGACCCACTGAGTGTTCCCAGCGACGTCTGTTTTTGAGCCACAAAGTGAATGGCTGATACTGTCTTGTTGGCCAGGATGCCTTCTCTTCCCGAGCAGCCCCGCGGGATCCTTAACATCCGCCTGGAAAGGCGCAGACGGGACCTTGGTTTGACGTCTCTTCTGAGGGTCGGCGTTCCCCCTTTCCCACCTCCATCCCCACCCTCCATACACTACCCTGGCGCGTCAGCTTAGACTGGGAACCTGACCCGGGCTGATAATAATGATAATAATCCTGGCATTTGATACAGCACCTTATCACATCTTCGAGACGTCTCAAAGCGCTTCACAGAATGACTTGTAAAGTGTAGTGACTGTGAAGTTTGTGGGCGAAACGTGCCAGCCAATTGCGCACAGTGGCATCCGACAGACAGTCGAGGATTGAAGTGGCCAAATTATTATTATTATTATTTTTTTATCCACCAATCGACTAACAACCGGGTTCCTACTGACTGCTGGTAAACAGAGATGTGTGTGCGTGTGTGTGTGGTGTATGTGTCTGTCTGTGTGTGTGGTGTGCTGTTTGTATCTGTGTGTGTTTGTGTGTGTTGTTTGTATCTGTGTGTGGTGTGTTGTATGTGTCTGTGTATGTGTGTGTGTGGTGTGTTGTTTGTATCTGTGTGTGTGTGGTGTGTTGTATGTGTTTGTCTGTGTGTGTGTGTTGTGTGTGTGTGTGTGTGTGTCTGTGTGTGTGTGTCTGTCTGTGTGTGTCTGTGTGTCTGTGTGTGTGTGTCTGTGTGTGTATGTGTGTGTGTGTGTCTGTATGTGTGTGTGTGCGTGTGTCTGTGTGTCTGTGTGTGTGTGTGTGTGTGTGTCTGTGTATGTGTGTGTCTGTGTCTGTGTGTGTGTGCATGTGTGTGTGTGTGTGTGTGTGTGTGCGTGTGTCTGTGTGTGTGTCTGTGTGTGTGTGTGTGTCTGTGTATGTGTGCGTGTCTGTGCGTGTGTGTGTCTGTGTCTGTGTATATGTGTGTGCGTGTGTGTATGTGTGTGTATGGCGTGAGGAAACTTGCCTAAGGTTACGTCCTGATTGATCCGCCCGGGACCCGAACCCGGGGCTTCGAGGGGTGTAACCCCTGAGCTACAGTATATCCCACTGATTGTCAGTAGTGTGAACAGCCTGAACCTGAGGCGAGTAACCAACCCTCAGTGTCACCCCATAGCCCTCACAGCCCCTCACTCACCACCAGCCAATGGGAGCCCCTCGCTCACCACCAGCCAATGGGAGCCCCTCGCTCACCACCAGCCAATGGGAGGGACTCACTCACCACCAGCCAATGGGAGCCCCTCGCTCACCACCAGCCAATGGGAGCCCCTCGCTCACCACCAGCCAATGGGAGCCCCTCGCTCACCACCAGCCAATGGGAGGGACTCGCTCACCACCAGCCAATGGGGGGCCCTCACTCACCACCAGCCAATGGGAGCCCCTCGCTCAGCACCAGCCAATGGGGGGGTCCTCACTCACCACCAGCCAATGGGAGCCCCTCACTCACCACCAGCCAATGGGAGCCCCTCGCTCACCACCAGCCAATGGGAGCCCCTCGCTCACCACCAGCCAATGGGAGCCCCTCGCTCACCACCAGCCAATGGGAGCCCCTCGCTCACCACCAGCCAATGGGAGGCCCTCACTCACCACCAGCCAATGGGAGCCCCTCACTCACCACCAGCCAATGGGAGGGACTCGCTCACCACCAGCCAATGTGGGGCCCTCGCTCACCACCAGCCAATGGGAGCCCCTCGCTCACCATCAGCCAATGGGGGACCCTCGCT